CCTCCCTGTTCGCTCGGAGCCTAGACTCTCCCACCCCTCCCCACGCCCAGACCCGGGAAAGATGAGCTGGGAGGGGGCAGAAGTGGGCGGGTGGATAAGGCTTTTGGGGAGACAGATGGGGACTTTGAGGACAGATGGGGGACACTTAGGATAATTGAGAGGGCATTTTAAGGGACAGTTTCAGAGAACAGTTTTGGACAGGGTCATTTGGGGGATAATTTGGATACTATTTTAGGGAACAGTGTTTTGGAGAAAGATACTGACATTTGGAGAACAGTTTCAGAGGACATTTGAGAGATTTGCAGGGAGGACATTTTTGGGACAGACAATGGGGTCATTTAGGGGAACGATTTTGGAAAACCCATCAAGAACTTTGGGAAGGCATTTTGGAAAGCATTTCAGGCTATGGTTTAAGGGATAGATCTTGGAGGACATTTGGATGACAATTGTGGCATTGGGGGGTGGGGTGGTAGAAGGATAGATGGCAGAGGATGGTTATGAGGGATGTTTAAAGGAATACTTTCAGGGGTTCCTATGGGAAGACTTCTGAGGGTAAGATGCATGGGTCATTTTGATGGGGTGATGTTGGAAAGGAGGCTGTTCGCTAAGGGACAGGCTGGGGGCCTAAGCATGGGGACAATTTTAGGAAAGATGCTGGGGGCTTATCTGGGCTGGTTTAGTGGGAGGATGCTGGCACTGGGCGTTGGATGGACATTTGGGGCAATGAGAACAGATGCTGGGAGGCACAGGCTTGGAGGACACTGTCTCAGGCCCCCACCCAAGACCACCTCCCCCTGCAGCTGCGCCTCAGCCCCACCGACCTTGGCTCCTGCCCACCCTGTGGTCCCTGCCCCATCCCGAAGCCGGCAGCCAGAGTCAGGCGCCAGGCAAGTGCCCAGGGGTGGGCGGTGAGAGGCCAGAGCCCCTGCCCAAGGGAGTGGGGAGGGGCAGTGGCTGCCCAGCCCCATGGTCCCCTGGGTGTGCCCCACAGAGCCAGGACTGGGGCAGAAGCGATGAGCGGCTGCTGCAGGCTGTGGAGGGCAACGATGCCGCCCGGGTGGCCTCCCTCATCATCCGCAAGGGCCTGGTGCCCACGAAGCTGGACCCCGAGGGCAAGTCCGCGTGAGTGTCCATGCCTGGGGGGTATGATGGCTGAGGGGTGGCCACCCTGCTGCTTACCCCTCACCTCTGACCTCCAGATTCCACCTGGCAGCTATGAGGGGTGCAGCCAGCTGTCTGGAGGTGATGCTGGCACACGGCGCCAACGTCATGAGCACAGACGGGGCAGGTACTGCCGACCAGGCCCCAGGGGAGGGGGGGACTCAGACCAGGTGCCCAGCCTGAGGGTCCAGCCAGGCCCTGCTTCATGTCCTCAGTGTCTTGCTGAAAAAGGGGGGGGGGGTCCCTTTTAGTGCCCTCAGGGTGTCACAGGGGCATGTCAGACTGCGGTGCCCAAGGACAGGGACCATGGCTGTCACCAAGCAAGGTGAGTCAACTTGAGGAGTAGCTGGGACTCAGGGAGTGGTTGAGTCAGAGGGAGTAGTTGGAACAGAGGAGTGTGTGAGCTTGAGAATAATAAGTTTGGAGGAGGCGTCTGACTATGTAGAGTAGCCGGGATTTAGAGGGAGCTGGAGCTCCGGGAATAGCTGGAACAGAAGGAGACTCTGGGTTTCTGACTTAACTAGGTACCTGAGGGAATAACTGAGGTAGATATATTGCATGGCCAAAAGGAGAAATTGGGGCTCAGGGAGTAACTAGACATAGGGCATAGCCATGTGTGAAGCTTCAGGCATCGTGCCAGGATGTGTGGCATATCACACAGTGGGTCTGTAGAGTATCAACGACGGGGACATGGCTGGCATACGGGACAGCAAGGGTGCATGGATTAGCTGGGACATGCAGAAAACTGGATTCTGAGGGGCATCGCTGGTGCTTCTGTGTAGCTGGGCATTTAGCGTGGCTGGGGATATGGGAAGTAGCTGGGGCAGTAGGGCTTGGGGAGTGGGTGGGTGTGGAGTGTAACTGAGATGAGATTGTCTGGGACATAGACTAGCTGGGACTTGGAGAGTCTCTGACCACAGGGAGTAGCATGGTTTTGAGAAATACTTAGGTTTGGGGACGTGCTAGACACAGGGAACCTGAATCATCACAAAAAGCTGACACAGGTTAGGGAGCAGCCAGAGCTCCTTGAGTACCCGGAGCCCTAGTAAATCCTTTCTCCCTTTCAGGTTACAATGCCCTCCACCTGGCCGCCAAGTATGGGCACCCACAGTGCTTGAAGCAACTGCTACAGGTCATTTTCTCTCTTGTCTCAGATACACCCTGAACCCCAGATACCCCTCTGCCCTGACTGTTCCTGGGTTACAGCAGTTCCCCGAACCCCCATGTGTTCCCTGAATCCTAGATATTCCTTGCCCCTTTTACTCCTGAGCTACTCCTTGGATAACTAGATACTCCCTGAGTGTCCAGATACTTCCCACAAATAAGATGTACTCCCAATATCAGATATTTCCTGGGCCCCAGTTTCTCCCAAACCCTAGGTACTTTCTTGGACACAGGTACTCTTAGAGCTCCCATCTACCCCCCAAACCCTCAGCTGCTTCTGAGCTTTTTTCTCACCAACTTTTATAAAAGCTAAGAGTCACTCAGAGGTTCATGAGGAGACGGGCTCCACAGAGCAGGTAAGTGGGAGGGGAGGAAGGGGTGAGGCAAGGAGCCTGAAATATAGCAGAGCCAAGGAGGGGCAGTTCCTAAAGAAACCAGCAACAAGGAGGCTCCTGAACTAACCTGACCCCCTCCGCAGGCATCCTGCGTGGTGGATATTGTGGACAGCAGTGGGTGGACGGCCTTGCATCATGCAGGTGGGTGCAGCCCAGCCTTGCCCTGCGCACCATGGCCCAGAGGGTGCTAGGCTTGGGTGTTATTCTACCCAATGCCTTGGGGACCTGCCTTCCTTCTCCTTTTTCCTTACTGAGCACCTACTGTGTGTCAGGCACTGTGCCTCAGTGACTCTTTGAGCCACAGGTAATGATCCCATTGAATAGACAAGGTGATTGAGGCTCACCCACAAAAAAGTAGGGAGGACCTAGGCCATCTGACCCCAAAGCACAGCCTACTGTATGCTAGGCCTGGGGGAGGATGATAGGGGTATGACCAGAGGGTAATTTCCTTGGAAGAACTCCTAGGGAGTCCAGGAAGGCCAAGGGTCTGAGCAGCATTTATACTTATCAGATCCTACCCACTTGAGCCAGAACCCAGCCCTTTGTCTGCCCACCATGCCCATGAGATTCTGGAATGACTTTCACTGATGAGTCCAAAAATGTCTCTCCTCTTGGGAACACAGAATAAATTTGGGTCTGCTTTAGAGTTTTATTCACTGGTTTAAAATTCTCCACAGATGGAGTATGCTGCCACTTAGTGGTGTGTCAGTGCCTTTGGTCACAGTGTGGAAGTTCATCCATCCATACCACTTCCCGCGTCGACCTTACCCAGCTTCCACTTCAGGACCCCTGCCCATGCAGTAACCTCTACCTTCCCCCTTTCACCTTTGAAACTCAGAACTCAGATCAAACCTTGAGAAGCCTGCCCAACCTCAGCTGAGGTGTGATCCCTCTGGTAAACATTAACACTCTGAGGGTTTGGTACATAGTAGGTACACAATAAATGCTAGGTGAATCAAAGAGGGGAAATATATGAAAAGCATCCCACAGTTCTACCTTAAGAGAGAACCACAAAGGAATGTGGAACGAGCTTGGGACTGGGAGTTAACAGACCAGGGTCCTAATCGTGCCTCTGCTTCCAACCTCACTGGGTGACCGTGGACCTGGTTGGGCCTCAGTCTCCTCAACTGTAAAACAGGATTCAGACTTTTGTTATTGATCTTTTAGGGGAAGTGGGAATTTCTCATGAAATATAAGAATCACACCCAGACAAAAGGCTCCCAGGATATGTCTAAGCTTTACCCTACCTCCATGCCATCCTTTTCTCTGTTTCCAGCGGCTGGTGGCTGCATCTCTTGCTCAGAAATGCTCTGCTCCTTCAAGGCACATCTGAATCCCCGCGACCGGGTGAGCCTCTGGGATCTTTGGGGGAAAGATACTGTACTTGACATACGCTGCCACCAAGTGGTAGCATCCCAGGCACCCTTTGAAAAGTGTGGAAAAGCTTCAAGTGCAGCTCAGGGGCAGTTATATAGGGACTTTCCCACCTCCCAGGGTCAGTCTCTGATGTTTCATTCCTCCCCCAACTCCCACCAGTTGGGTACAACGCCCCTCATCATAGCAGCCCAGATGTGTCATACAGACCTGTGCCGCCTCCTCCTGCAGCAGGGGGCTGCTGTGAATGACCAGGACCTGCAGGGCAGGTGAGCATCTCTCCTCCTAGCCATCCCACTGTGTGCTGTGTAACATTCTGAAGCTTCTTAACATACCTAGTTGGGGGGATCTAGTTGGCCTCCTCCCTCAACCCAGGGTGGTGTTGAGGGAGGCGTGGGGGTTTAAGGATGTCCTACCCTCTCAGTAGCCCCCTCTCCTGTTAGGACCGCCCTCATGCTGGCCTGTGAGGGGGCCAGCCCTGAAACAGTGGAGGTGCTGCTGCAGGGAGGGGCCCAGCCAGGCATCACCGACGCGCTGGGCCAGGACGCTGCTCACTATGGCACCCTGGCAGGGGACAAACTTATCCTGCACCTCCTGCAGGAGGCGGCCCAGCGCCCCTCACCACCCAGCGGTATGCAAGCCCCGCCTCTAAGCAATTCCAGGCACCCTCTTTCTAGGCAGTTTCTTGCTACCCCTTTCTCTTCCTACTGTGGATAGTTTCAAGGTATCCTTGTATGCTGCATTAGAGGAGGTTTCTTGGCTTCCCTGATCCTAATTGGGACAGTTTCAAGGAGCACCAGCACTTTTAGAACAGTCTAGTGGTCCACTCTGCTTTCCTGGGTCGTTCTTATTCTTGGGTCTTTATCTTTTCTAAGAATTGACATCTCATTTGCCCCATCCTAGAGATGTCACTGTCCTCTCTTTTTTGAGTTTCAAGGCCTCTCCTATCAGTATTCTGCCAATGTGGTTGATTCCCAATGTAAAAGTTCTGATTCTTGGGCAATCAGGAGATCCCCCATAGGTCCCCTGGGTTCACTAATGCCCTTCCTGGGGGGGGGGGGATTCCCTAGAACACAGTGCCTGACCCTGTTTTTCTTTCTCCCCTGCCCCCCTAGAGGATGAGTCAGGCGAGGCATCATCTCAGGTATGGATCTCTACGCAGTGAGCGAGTCCCCCCCCTGTGCACACACTGCCTTCCCCTGGCCCTAAACTCTGTGGGAAGAGAAGGAAGAGATGGACCCCTGCCACAGGGTTATGACTCGAAAGGACCTGTTTGAGAAGAATGCTACCTTCAGGGTACATTGCCACCAAGTGGCAGCATCACCCACAGCATAACTCAGAACTGGGTGAGAACATTGTGGGGATGAGGTCACATCATGGAACTGGGGTGAGGTGGTGAGGGGGACTGAGACTGGTGAGGACTGATGTAGTCAGGGGAGGAGGCAGGTCTGCCTCTTTCCCTCTCCCAGCTTACAGCACCTCAGTTCCACAGGGAAAGGTCACTTGGAGACTGTCTGGTCTAGCTGGGGAAAGTCCTAAGTCACAGAGAGGAGCAGAAAGTAAAGCAAAAGATCTGGAACTCTCTGGGAACATGGTCTCATCCCCTTTTATGCTGGGATAAGTGAGGACCAGACAGAGGCAGGGACTTGCTTGGGATCACACAGGAAGCGAGGGCAGAGTTTGAGCTGGTGACAGAGTGGGCTATGTGGGTTCACTTCTCTGGGTGGGAGGCTGGCGCGTCTCCCATGTGTTTCTTCGCTCCCTCCCACCAGAACTCTGTGTCCAGCCATGAGAAGCGAGGGGCTCCCAAGAAGCGGAAGGCACCTCAGCCCCCTACCAGCATCCCTATGCCGGTGAGAGATACCCTGGCCATGGGTAAGAATGGGGGGTGTCTGCAGGAGTAGGAATGGGGGAGGAAGATCCTGCTCACATATGGGATGAGTACTCACTGCACACCACAGCATGAAACCAGCCCTTGAGCCTCATGTAAAAGTGGTGGGTCCTGGGGTTGGGGGACAGGATGATCGTGATGCCTATGAGGAGATTGTACGGCTGAGACAGGAGAAGGGCCGTCTGCTTCAGAAGATCCGGGGCCTGGAGCAGCACCAGGAACGGAGGAAGCAGGAGGTGAGGAGCAGCAGGAACACAGGCTGGGGCTTTGTCTGGGGTGAGGTGCAATTCTGGAGGGAAGCCTGCTCCTACCTCCCCACCCTCACCTCCTCCCTCTCTTCCAATCACTCACTCTGCTCTAGCCTCATGAGCCTCCTCGCTGTTCCTCCAACACATCAGGCACAATTCTGCCCCAGGGCCTTTGCATGTGCTGTGCTCTTTGCCTGGAACACTCTTCTCTCAGATCTCTCCATGGCTCCCTCCCTTATCTCTTTCAGGTCTTTGCTCAAAGATTCCTTGTCAAATATACTTTCCCTGCCCACCTTATTTAAAATTGTAATGCTCTTCTATTCACTTCCCAGTCCCCTTTATTAAAAACAATATTTTTTATTGATTTTTAGAGAGGAAGGGAGAGGGAGAGGGAGAGAGAGAAAAACATCAATCGGCTGCCTCCTGCACTCCCCCTACCGGGAAACAAGCCTGAAACTCTGGCATGTGCCCAGACCTGGAATTGAACTGGTAACCTTTTGGTGCATGGGAAAACACCCAACCAATTGAGCCACACCGGCCAGGGCCCAGTTCCCTTTATTTTTATGTAAAGCACTTATGGCTATTGGACATGCTATATATTTTATTCATGTCTACTCATTCAATTATAAGCCCACGAGGGAAAGCATAGTTAATGGTACCTGGCTCACAGGAGATGCTTGATAAATATTTATAGGATGGACAAATAGTGAATGAGTGAGTGGTCAAAAGCAGGGTCTGGCACGAAGTAGGTACTCAGCAAGTACTAAGTAATGAGTGAGCGGGCTGAGCAGTGCTGGGCGTGCAAATAGTTGCACAGCGGGTGTCTGTGGTTGAGATGGAGGGCTACTAAGGAGGTGGGCCAGTGAGGCCCCCAGCCCAGATCTAAGTTCTCTCCCCACTTCTTTCATAAGCTGCCAGAGGCAGAGGCCAGCTCCCTTCACAGCCTGGAGAGACAGGTAGGTGGAAGGTCGGGAAAGCCAGCCTCCCAGCTGCCCAGTGTTTCTTCCTGGAGCCCGGCTGAGCCTCCACCACCCTCCTCCAGGTGCAAGAGCTACAGCAGCTGCTGGCAGAGAAGCAGGAGGAGAAGGAGAGTCTGGGACGGGAGGTGGAAAGTTTGCAGAGCCGGCTGTCCCTGCTGGAGGTGGGCTGGGTGGAGAGTGAGGGTGGGGCTTCCAGGGGCGGAGCCTCTCTCAAATCAGTTACATGATAACCACACTAATGCACATACAGTCTCACACACATGCAAACACACACACAACAGACAAACATACAAACACAACCACAGACAGATAACATACACATAATGGACAGTTTCCAAAACATACAATCACACACACGCACACACATACAGATGAACAGCCACACTCATATGCGTGTGGTCTTACACATATAACAGGCAAACAGACAACAAACAGATCCATGGAAGCACAATCACACACGTATCACAAAATGTGCATACAATAAACTTCTCATCCAATCACACACACAGATGGCACACCCACAAACACATATACACACACATATTTCTCAAAATACATAATTACACAAACATATTCATATTCACATTCAAAATGCAACCACAAACACACAACAGACTGAAACACAAGTGCAGAATCACACACTGTCACAGGAACTCACACAGGAAAGGCAAGAACCATGGCGCATAGGGCACACACACGCATACACGTGCTTACTGCACACTGCAGCCTCAAACCATATAGATGCACCCTCGCAAGGATGCACCCACCATCTCTCTCTCAGTCCCTTGTGTCCAGCTGCATGTACAACCCCAGTCATTGGGGTTATGGACACACACTCGGGCAGTGATTGGGCCATTTACTAATCTTCCTGGGAGTCCAGCATAGTCCTAGGCACACAGTAGGCACTCAATTAAAACTTGTGGGCCACAGACAGTTTGATGATTGTGGGGAGTCAAATAGACCCATGAACACCTCTGTCCATTCTAGATTCCTGGGGGTTGTTGAGGTGGGGGGCAGGACCCCAAACCAGACTTTGGGCCCCCTTTCAGAATGAGCGGGAGAACACCAGCTATGACGTGGCCACCCTGAAGGATGAGGAGGGTGAGCTGCCTGACTTTCCAGGTGAGCCCTTACCTTATCTTCCCCCCATGCACCCCCACACACCTGGTCCCTGGGGTCCCAGGAGAGGGAGCTTTTACCCACAGGCATGGAGAGAGTTTGAAGCTGAAAGGAAGGTTGGCCCTCACTTGTTATTTATTTCACATGCCCTGGGGGCCCCAAAGCACCGCCCTAGACCCCAGCTTCCATCCCCTGTGGTTTGGAACCCCAGGGTCTGACTCTGTGCCGCTGCCAGGGGCCGAGATGCTGCCCTCCAAGCAGCTAAGCCCGTCAGCCCAGGAGCTCTTGGCCTCGCTGCAGGAGCAGGTGGCCACCCTCACCAGACAGAACCAGGAGCTGATGGAAAAGGTCCAGGTGGGAAACAAGGCCTGGTAGAGTGGGCTGGGGACAGAGCTGCGGGATTGCTCCCCCAGGGGGTTGGAGTGGCATGTGGCCAAGTCCATGGTCAGGGAAGGTGGCAAGGCTGCCCTGTGCCCCCATGGCCACTTCAGCTCCCGCCAGCTCCCTCCCCACCCCCACCTCCACCTCCAGATCCTAGAGAGCTTTGAGAAGGATGAAATGGAGGCAAATGGCTCAGCAGAGGTCATCCCTTTGGCTCTCTATGACTCTCTCCGGGCTGAGTTTGACCAGCTGCGCAAGCAGCACGCCGAGGCTGTGCGGGCCCTGGAGCAGCAGGAAGCACAGGGGACCCCCAGAGAACAGAAGGTAACCCCCGGGGAGCGCAAGGACACAGGAGCCAAGACCACCCAAAATGGGCCAACAGAAATGGAGCTTGATGGCATCGTGGCTCCAGAAACCAAAGTTAATGGAGTTGAGACCACAGACGAGGAGACTGCAGACATTGAAACTGCGGAAGCCAGGACTTTGGAAGCAGCATCCACAGGAACCGAGGTCATGGAAACAAAACCCATGGACACTCTGGCCATGGAAACAGAGGGTGCGGGAGCCGAGGCCTTAGAAACAAAGGTTACAGAGGCTGAGGTCACAAAAACGAAATCTCTAGAAGAAGGAGGGAACCTGGAAACACAGGCCACGGGAACAGAGGCCACAAACATGAAAGTAGAGGCACCAGAAATGAAGGCCAATGGAGTGGGTGCTGTGGAAGGAAGGCTCACAGATGCAGAGACCACAGACATGGAGGCCAGGGGAGTGGAGGCCACCACCCCTAGAGTCCCCAATGGCTCTGTCCTACACCCTGGTGCTGCTGAGGCCTCGGAAAAGCTGCAAGCTGAACTGGAGACTAGGATTCGTGGCTTGGAGGAGGCACTCTGGCAGCGGGAGAGGGAGGCAGCCACAGAGCTGGAGGCAGCCCGTGGCAAGGGCGAGGCTACAGAGGCTGAGGCCGAGGGCAGTGGGGTTGGTGGTGGAGGCAGTGGTGACATGGTCCAGCTGCGAGCTGCCCTGGAGCAGGCCCGGGAGGACCTCCGAGAACGGGACTCTCGCCTCCGGGAGCTGGAGGCCACCTTGGCCTGCCTGGATGAGGCCCGAGCAGGCAGGCTGCTGGCCGAGGAGGAGGCTCGGGGCCTGCGGGCAGAGCTGGCCCAGCGGGAGGAGGTGCGGCTGGAGCAAATCCGGGAGCTGGAGGTGCTACGGGAGCAGCTGGCCACCTCCACGGCCACTGAGGAACAACAGCGGGCAGCGGCCGCTGAGCTGAGTCAAGCTCGAGAAGCAGCAGAGACCCGGGCTGCTGAGCTGGCCGCGGCCTGTGAGGAGGCTCGGCGGGGCCTGGCGGAGCTGCGCGAGGCCTCGGAGGTGCTCCGCCAGTCAGCAGTGCCAGCCTCTGAGCATCACCGGCTGCAGGAGGAGGCCCTCGAGCTGCGGGGCCGGGCGGCCAGCCTGGAGCAGGAGGTGGTGGCCACAGGCAAGGAGGCTGCCCGGCTGCGGGCAGAGCTGGAGCGGGAGCGCGTGGGCAGTGTAGCCCGCTTGGAGCACGAGCGCATAGTGGGCGCGCTTCGGGCGGACGTGGCCCGGCTGGAGGGGCAGCTGGAGGAGCTAGGACGCCGCCACGAGAAGACCAGCGCCGAAGTCTTCCAGGTGAGCATGGCCAGGCCCGTACCAATCACACCCAGCAGCCACTTGGGCATCTGTTTTGATCCTACAGCCAAGGGGGGTTTCAGTCCCATAGATTTTAATCCTACAGACAAGATCCTGCCAGTGTTTCTAGGTCGACCTTTGACCCTGCTGCCATTCTGACCTCCTGCATGTTTCAACTTGCCTTTTCTTCTTCCTTTTTTCTCTCTTTTTTTTTCTTTTGTTTATATTTTCTTCTTTAAATCCTTTGGCCGTTTCGACCCTATCATTTTTTCTAATGGTTAGTACTTTTTGCAATTATTTTATAAAACCAATTTGTACCAAAGTCATGGAGATATTCTCATATGTTTTCTGCCAGCATTTTTATTGTTTTCGTTTCATAATCCTGTTTATGCTTTGGCTCTGATTGTATGTATGGTGCGAGGTGGGGATCAGTGTTTACTTATTCTTTTTGCAAGTATTGAATTGTGGTTTGTTGTTGTTGTTGTTAATCTTCACCTGAGGATGTTTTTTCCATTGCTTTTCCAGAGAAAGTAGAAGGGATTGAGGGAGGGAGAGAGAAAGAAAGAAACATTGATGTGAGAGAGAAACATCACATTGATTGGTTGCCTCAGGTACATGCTCTCAACTGGGAATTGAACCTGTGACTCTTCTGTGCTCGGGCTGATGCTCTACCACTGAGCCACTCTGGCCAGGGCTGAATTGGGGGTTTTGCCTTGATGTTTTTACCAAATGCCCCATTTTCTCTGCTGGTCAAAATGACCCTATGGTTTTTTACAGCTGGCTTTTTTGAGATTGTCATTTTATCTTATGATCATTTTGATGCTTCAACCCATTCTGGAGGAGGGCATCAGACACGGATTTCTTATCTCATTTTGAACCCAGTAGATTTTGATGCTGAGTTTTGTGGGTTTTTTAACCCATGGAATATTTATTTTGTCCCTGATGATGGACCTTTTGACTCCATCTTTTTTCTTAAAAACAAAACAAAACAAGAGAAAACTGGGAACTGTTTTAACAAATATGTAAATAAGAAGCTACATTCGTTATTTATCAGGAAAGCATTTTCCTCTCTGAGCTTCTGTTTACTCACTCATATAGTGGAGATAATAATAATTCTGAATCCTCACGTGAAAATGAAGTGGCTTAACTTATATTAGCTACTTAGGACAGTGACAGTACAAGCAATCAATAAATAACATCCAGAATTATTCTTTCTTCAAGAACACCCTCTTTTAAACCAGTTAAACCCTCGATCACAGTCCAACCTAAGTGTGATCATCTTCATGGATGTCTCCGCAATTTTACCTTCCTCATGATCACTTCTTTTTTGGGTAAACTTTACAAGTCTGATTTGATTTATCAATCAGTTTAGGATTTATTTAAATTGTTAATGTGTGCCAGTCTATACTAATTGGAACATCTAATTACTATCCATTTTTCCCTGGAGCTGTTATTTCTGTAAAGGTCAATGTTTCCTCCAGGATCAATTTTTGCAAATCTAACATTGCTGCGATCTTGATATTTTTGTGAAAATACAGTCATCAACTTTTGGACATCTGTTTGTTTCTCATCCAAATTCTTCAAGTTTTCTTTCATTTTGTAAGAAATCTACAGGTCTTCAACCACAGGCAGAGGAAAGAACATTAGTGGTAATAATAATACCACCAACTCAAATATAGCACTTACTGTGTGCCAAGCACTGTTTTAAGCATATTCCATATATTTGCTAATTTTATCCTCACAACCACCCTATGAAGTGGTGGTGGGGGGGGGCTGTTATTATCTTCATTTTACATATGAGGAATCTGAGGCACAGAGAGGTTAAGTCCATTGTCTAAGGCCACTAGCAAATCAGAGGTGTTTGGCATGGTGAGAATGTTCAGTGCCCTGTGGAATTCAGAACTTCCCTGAATCAAAATCCTCAAGGTCAAAATGGGCTTGAATATCCTCAGGCCAAAATAGAAGGTCAGAGCAACTCTGAGGTCCAGGCATCCTTGGGGTCCAAGTGTCCTCAGGGTCACACATGGACTTGGGCCACAGGTGCAGCGTGAGGCGCTATTCATGAAGAGTGAAAGGCATGCAGCTGAGGCCCAGCTGGCTACGGCAGAGCAGCAGCTGCGTGGGCTACGTACTGAGGCCGAGAAGGCACGCCAGGCCCAGAGCCGCGCCCAGGAGGCCCTGGACAGGGCCAAAGAGAAGGACAAGAAGGTGAGTCCCCTTTTGCTATACTTAGTCAGAGGCCCCCACTCAACAGAGGTTGGGAGGAATCTAAGAATGTCCCAGCTAAAAGGGTTCTGGGAAACGAGTCCATTTTCCAGATAGGGCACTGAGATGCAGAGAAGGAAGGGGACAGCTCAGACACACAGGCTACTGTTCCAACCACTAATTACTACCACAGTAACATTTATTGAGTGCTTATTGCATGCCAGGCCCTGTGTTGTGCATTTAATATGGATTAATGCATTTAATCCTCACATTAAGTTCCAATAAGATTATTGCTTTTATTATCCCCATTTGAGGAAACTGAGACACAAAGAGGTGAAGCCACTTGCTCAAGATCACACAGCTATGCAATGGTTCCTCCAGGGTTCAAACCCAAGTTCCCAAGTTCCTTTCTCAAATAGTGAGAATAATAATAACAGAGACCTCTGGTTTTGACTCAGCTGTTCTTCACACACCATCACTTTTAATCTCACAACCCTAAGGGCCAGAAAGCACTTTTATCTCCATCTTCCAGATGAGCAAACTGAGGCTCTGAGAGGCAAAGTGAATGGCTCAAAGTTACACAGCATGTCACCTGATAGTGGATGTGATCCCCAAGGCCCCAGGTGCTTTAGTGTAAAGAGTCACCCAGACACGAGTTGCTGTGTGACCTTGGATGAGTCACTTGACCTCTCTAAGCCCCAGTTTGACATTTGTAAAATGAGGATAAAATTGTGGTAGAGATTGTGCTTTATTTGTAGCAGAGTTCTTCTTTCTCAGCACTACTGATATTCAGGGACAGGTCACTCTCTGGGGGCAGGGGGCTCTCCTGGGCACTGTGAGGTGTTGGCAGCATCCCTGGCCCCACCTACATGATGCTGGCAGCACCCCCCAGACATTGCCCAGTGTCCCCTGGGGGCAGAATGGCCTCTGATTGAGAATCTCTTATCTATAGAAATAATAATAAAGCTTATTATTTATTGAGTGCCTGCTCTTTGCCAAGCAGTTTAAACTAATCACTGCTCGGAATCAGTTAACTGGTGAGAACCATGATTCTCCTTACTTTACAGATGAGAAAACTGGGCTCAGAGGGGTTAAATCATCTTCCCAAGGTCTCCTTTGAGAAAGGGATAGAGAGGGACCCAAACCCAGGGCTGTCTGACACAACCCCACCGCAGCCTCACCGGGCTTCCTGACCCCTGTTCCATCAGCCTTCCCTTTCTAGAGACTCCAAGAGGCGATGTGACAGCATCGACAAACTTTTCCTGTAAAGAACCCAATAGGCAGTGGTTTTGACTCATGTCTGCCATTGCAGCAGGAGCCATAGGTGACATGAACACAAATGGGTGTGGCCATGCACCAATAAAATTTTATGTGTGAACATGGAAATGTGAATTTGATCTAATTTTCATATGTCACAAAATAGCATTCTCCTTTTGACTTTTAATCCCCCAACCATTTAAAACTACGAAAACCATTCTTAGCCCAATGGCCAGAGTTTGCTAACCTCTAAGGTGTGACCTTCCCTCGCAAGCCTGTCCCACCTTTCTTACTGCTGCTGTAAGAGCCCTGGGCTCAGGGTGACCAGGGTGACTGCTGACACCTCCCACCCCCACCCCAGATCACAGAGCTCTCCAAGGAGGTCTTCAGTCTTAAGGAGGCGCTGAAGGACCAGCCAGCAGCCCCAGGCAGCCCTGAGGTGGAGGCCCTCCGGGGCCAGGTGAAGGCTCTCCAGGGGCAGCTGGAGGTGAGAGCTGCACGGGGCACATTCAGAGACCCCAGGAGAGGGTTCAGGGGCACGCAGAAACCTGGGGTACATGTGCCAGGCATGGGAGGAAAATATTGCAATTTTTTGTCAAGTGGCACTGTCACACTGGTCTGTGCCATCAAAATAGGGGCTCAGAATGCAAAGGGGGCATTTTGTCTTGCTTTTCTGAACGTCCATCTGCCATACCCACAGGAAGCTGCCAGGGAGCACAGTGCAGTGGTGGCCTTGTATAGGAGCCACCTCCTATACGCCATTCAGGTGAGTCCGCCCTGGCTTTGGTTACACCCCTGGCCGCCCTCCGGTCCTCTTTCCCCGTCTGTACAGTGGCAGGGGCGCCAGGCTCTCCCTCTGTTCCCTCCGCCCCAGGGCCAGATGGATGAAGACGTGCAACGGATCCTGAGCCAGATCCTACAGATGCAAAGGCTCCAGGCTCAGGGACACTAAGCCCTGGAACACTGATCCTCCACTAGCTAGGACCTGTACAGCGGGTGTTGGGGCTCACGCACGGACCCTCCGAACTTGGAGATCAGCCTGGTCCCCCTCCCGACTGTCCCTGTTGCCCATCACTCAGGCCCTGACCATGCCCTCCCCATCAGAGAATCTGTGAGTTCCCTCTCTCATGTCCCGTCACCAGATGTCACCACAAGAATAAATGTTCACAGAGCAGAGGAAATCGTGTGGCCTGATTGCTGGGCTCCCACTGCAAGGAGGGGAGGGAGTGGCGCAGAGCAGGTCGTAAAGATCAGGGTGAGGAGAGTGAGGTACTCCCCTCCTGCACCAAAATCTCAGTCTCCAAGATGAACGCTATGTTAATGCAATATTTTAAAATGTTAAAATGGATGCCAGAAGTTCAGGATGAACAAAATATCCAAGTGTTAAGTGAGGATGGAAGCCAAGCCTGCACTTACCTCACTGTCCTTACCCTGAACCGAGCCCCTGGGAGGGAGAGTCCAACCTCCCTGCCCCTGGGCAACTTCCCTGAAATACCCTGGTGGTTCTCAGCTCTTTCCAGCTAAGGGAGGGGAGGGGACTATGGCTGTGAACCCCCCAGTGTTCAGCCTGTCCCTGGGGGTTTCCTTACTCATCCAGGGCAGGCACAGTGTCCAGCAAGGGTTCAGCCTGCCCCTGGACATCCCCATCGCTAGGAGAACGACCGTGGGGCTGGGGCTGCCTCTCTAGGGGGGGTGTTTCTGCCTCTCCATGGCCTGGGGTGTGGAGGTGAAGTGTGGCTGGTAAGCATGGGACCCCATCCCTGTGGCATCTCGGAGTAGATGCCTGGGTCTCTCTGGGTCCCTATCTTCTTTTTCCTAAACCTTTGTCTCTGTCTCTGTCTCTGTCTCTGTCTCTGCTCCTGTTTTTGCCTCTATATCTCAGTGTCCCGGCTCTTTCTCTTTTCTGTCTCTTTCTCTGTCTCTCTTGTCTGTGTCTAGCTCCCTTGTCTTTCTCTGTCTCCCCTCTTATCTGTGTGTCTCTCTCTATCTCCATCTCTCTGTGTCTCCTCTCTTTCCCTCCTTCTGAGTGTCCCTCTCCCTCTCTGTCTCTTTCTCTGTCCTTCCCCTCTTGGCTCTGTCTCGGTCTTTCTCCATGTGATCATCCCCCTCCTGGGGTTTCCCCAGCCCCTCCTCACTGAAGCCGGAAGGAAGGACTGACTGTGCTGGGAAAGGCCACAGGGTCTCCACTTCTCCCTTTCGTGGCCTCTCCTCCCTGCCCCCATCCTCAGAGCCTTCCGCACCCTTGTCCCAGAGTGGCCCGTAAAGGGACTGGTGACTCCTCTGCTGTTCCTGCTGGATTCTCCACCGCCCCACAAACCTGCCAGTGAGTCAGATCTGGAGAAGGGGAAGTGGGGGGCCTTGACCGAAGTGGGGGGCCTTGACCGGGGCTGGTATCCCCCAGGTGGGTCTGAGTGCCCTACCTCCCCAATGGTGCTCTCTGCCCCAGCTCCTGAAAGCAGAACTTACAGAGGCATGGCCCCAAGACTTCTCCTGGCCCTTGTCCTCTGGGCTGGCTACTTACCCTGCAATGGGAGAAAAGGTATGTAGGACCCCTGGGGGGTTGGGAGACCAGGGCCAGTCTGGAAACTGGACTTTGTTTGTTCTGGGACATTCTGGGGTAGGGTGCAATCTCACACACCTCCTGTATGCATACCTCCTGGTAAGAGGGGGTTACCATCCATTTGCACAGATGGGGAAAGTGAGACACAGAAAAGACGAGTCCCCCAAAGTGACACCAGGTAGTGGCAGCCACAGCCTGGAGAAAGAGAGAGGAAGAGAGAAATGGTAGGGGGGTGGGGTAGGGGGGTTAATTGCATACATTTCTTTCATGTGCTTCAAAACAAAACTGTAGCAAAGAGGGGGTACAGTAAAATATCTCCCTCTCATCAGAGTTCTCCACTACCCAGGTCTCCTCTGTGGCTTATTAAACCTCAGTTTTCCCATCTGGAAAATGAGCCTATAGTTCCTAACTTGGCAGGTTGTAGTGGGGATGAGAGATGACGTAGGTGCCTTTCATTCATATACTCATTCATTCCACAAACCTTAATTAGATGCCTACTATATGCCTGGCACTGGCTGGCAGTGAGGCGAGGACAAACCCATGGTAGGGCATTGTGGTCCAGGGGTGGATCAAAAGCTCACACTCCTCCCTCCACCCCCACCC